CCTTCAGTTATTCCTGAAGGGAATGAGATAGAAGAGTACATTAGAGGATATTATTATGATGCAAATGTCTCGTGGCACACTGTTGACCACGTCTTATTCCCTTTTATGTGAAGCGCGGAAGAGCAAAATTGGGCCATTGGGTTTTAGGGGTGTTTACGTTCATTGATAGATGCATCCACATCTATGACTCTAACCGTGGAGCTATTAATGATAGACTTTCTTTGGATGTTGCATTACCTTATGCAATTCTGATACCTTACTTTTTGAAGAGTTCTGATTTTTATGTCGAGAAGAAGGGCATTGATTGGAACAATGGTGCATATACCGATAAATCCCATTCTGATGCTTTGCAGATTAATCTGGTTAATAATGTTCCCAACAGATCAAATGGTAGGTTAATCTCAATTGTTTTACTATTTACTATTAGTGTACCTATTTGAATCTGATTTTTCTTTTTAATTATAGTGATTGTGGTGCTTTTGTTGCTGGCTTTGCTGAGTATTTCATCCTTGGTAAGGAAATTCGAAAAGATAATTTTGACATTGAGACACTTTGCACCAGGTGGGGATCTCTGTTGTGGGATTATGGAAGGAAAAAACAACAGTCCGATGCAATTAGTGGTGATGAAATCACATGGAGACTTTTCAGGAAGAGGAAGAGGGGGCGACCGAGAAAGTAGTTCTGTTTTTTTTCATTTCACTGTAGTTTTTCTATGTATCAGGAATTTTAGCCTAGTTTTGTCTAAGTACTATTCTGCTACTTGTGAGATAACCTTAAAGGATATTATAGATGTTTTTATTTTTGTGTAATTTGTGGTAGTCATTACACATTGTGGCTGTGAATGAATTACATTTTAATGAATATCTTCCGTTGCTTTTGTCCTTTAACAAAGTATGTATTTTCATTATGGTTGCAGTTTTGTTAATGTAGCAGGGTTTATACATATGTATACAATAATATACATAGTTATACAAATTTATACAAACTTATACTCTCATTTATACATCTGTATACATATAATACCATTGATTGTTTGCAGTTCTGTTTTGCATTTGTACAATCTATCAATATATTTAGCACCATTAAAAACAGCAACACATTATTATTGGATAATCAAAACATGTATAATGAAACACATTTAACATATTTGCAATATATAGTGTAAATTGTAATTCTTTATTGACATTTGTAACTCAATTGCTTGTGAAACTTAACTACTTAACATTTGTAACTCTATTGTTTGTGAAACTTAACTACTCAACATGACAACAAATGTAATAGGAAGTGTTATGTTTCCAACTATTTATTTTGGTCGATTCCTACATGTTTTTCTATTGTGACCACTTTGTCCACACACAGAACATGAAAACACCCTCTTAGACTCTTTTTCTGAAGCAGGTTTGAGTCTTTCCTTTCTTGGCCTTCCTGCATTCCTTCTCCCTTTAGGTGGTAGGACCACATCTTCCAGCACCTCTGTTGGGATTATCCATAAACTCTCATCTGGCAGCGGATTCACTAGAAATTCATAAGTTCTAAGGAGGTTATCCTTCTTGTAGTAAAAAGAGCAATACTGGCCAGGTTTCAGCTGCTGGTTCTTCAAAACCGCCCAAGCATGCGGACATGGAAGTTCATCCATTTGAAATTTTCTGCAACTGCATGTTCCCTCTTCAAGGCACACTATGTTTCGCCTTACCCCTTCAAACACAGTATATAATTGCTCCGTAGCAGGCCTCACCTGCAAAAGTTTTTTTAAAAAAAAAAAGTTAAAGAACATTATACATTATTATACAGAGTTATACATCCTTATACAAGCAGTAAAATGCAAGTCAGCAGTGCCAAGCATCATTATATTTGATTCGTTTTACCGTCATTTGCTCCGATGCAATCAGATTTTCCTGAAGGAGTTTGTCGTACTTTTCGCCAAGCTCTGTAGATGTCCCCATTGCACTTTTTCTGTTTTTGTTGTTCCACTGTTGTAGCAAATTTGTCATGTACTCTAGCAATCGCATTACTGGTAACTCTCTAGCATCCTTATTTTGCTGCATTAATTGACTCTGCAATATTGGAAGTCATTACCATCGACCTTTTTACTTTGGAGTATGCCCTAGACCACCTTTCGTAGCCAATTTCGAACAAGTAATGCTGCATCCTCGGATCAATTTTGCACATCTTTGTCATATCGTAGTCAAACTTCTCTATCGTGTAAGCTCTAGCCAAAGCAAAGAAGATATCCTTCAATTGTTTGTGATGTTTCTTGAATGTGCGCTTGACATTCTGCCACAAGTGAAACATGCAAATACAATGTGGTACTTTTGGGTACACAGCTTTTGTGGTATTGAAGATGCTTTCGTTTCTATCTGAAACTATACACATCCCTTCCCTAACACCAAATGTACCCTTTATCTGGACGAAGAACCACTCCCAAGATTTGTTATTCTCTGAATCTACAATTGCATATGCAAGTGGAAGGATTTTTCCTGTTTATACAAAATAGATACTAGGATTCAGACAATTATACAAATCTTATACACAGTTATACACGATTATACAAATTTATACAAACTGCAATTTTTATAAAAACACCAGCTGTGAAATCCTATACACTTTTATACATGAAACTACAACATTATACAAACTGCAGAAACAAGGTAGATGCAGTCAACTCACCAGCTCCATCCTGTGTGCAAGCACTCAGTATGGTACCCTTATATGCTGCTTTAAGGAAACTTCCGTCAACAACCATTATCGGTCTGCAATGTTCCCAACCCTTGATAGATGAATATAGCGAAACATATGCATAAAGAAAGCATCCATCTTCTGATTTGTGCAACTTTGTTACCGTTCCTGGATTTGTATGCTCCAACATATACAAATACCTCGGCAACTCTTTATATGGATCGCTCGGATTCCATCTTATCATTGCCATTGCTATCTCTTTAGCTCTCCATGCTTTCATGTAGCTCACTTCAATCCTGTGTTGCTTTTGTATGTCCTCTATTATATCATTTGTGGTGTAAACTTTTTTTGGATTAACATACTTGTCCTTGACTATACTAGCAATTACACCCGAAGTAGCTTGACGTTGTGTTAAGTATCTTTCACCATAGCCGCATGTGTGATTATTATTGTAACTTCTCACTTTGAATATGTTTGCCTTGAAAACGGCAGAAGATTTGAAACTCCAAGCACAATTATCATCCATACACATAAGGTGATACCTAGGATTAAAGATCATTCAACTTCTAAATACACTTGTATACAAAAACATAACTACATATATACTAATTTTAATACCTATATACAAATATATACTACTTTATACATATTTATACATATATATAACAGAATATATAATTATTTACATACCTTGTTGCGCTTGATCTCTTCACCTTGAATTGGAACCTCTCGCGTACAGCCAAGTTCTTCATCACACTGACAACTGTCTTTTTATCCTTATAAACTTGATCTTCCTCAACAAATTCGTTCAATATATCATCTATTATACCTGTGTTTTCACTAAATTTCGTGTTTTCAATAAATTCAATATCAATAATCTCAGTGCTATCAATTGTGGATACATCTCTAGAATTTGAACTTGTAGCAACCAAACAGCTGGAACTTGTAGCAACCACACAACTAGAACTTGTAGCAACCAAACGATTATCATAAATCTCTTTCACTGTCACAAACAAGGGATATTCAGTGAAATTCAAGTTTTTCTTCTTTAATTCGATATACACCTTAACACCTGTATCATTGTAAATCAGGATCGGTGGCAAACCAACATTTGGGAGAAAGTTAATCTCTATTGTGTTTAACTCATTATCGATCCTAATCTGTTCCGAAATAGCTACAACTAAATTGTTGTAGCTGAATGTCGACTCGATGCTGACGAAATTGATAAACTCGTTTTCTTCCCATTCACCACTATGAAGAACGTAAATTGGAAAAATCTCCATCGAACAAAAAATTAAAATCAAAATTGCAGCAAAAATGAAAATTGTGCTGATTTGCAGCAAAAAAATTTCACTTTTCGTGTTTGATTTGCTATTATTTCGAGATGAAGAAGAAATTCTAGGGTTTTTGGAGCTGCATTGATCGCAAGATCTCGTTTTTGTAGTATTTGGGGAAGAAGATTGGAAAGAATCAGAGAAAATCCTGCTGAAACAAAGAAAATCCCGCTTGTTACTGCCAAAAAACGGAAATAATGCTCCTTTTTTCGGATATGGGCCTCTAATTTTTGGGCTACTCAATTGTAAATTGAAATATGGGCTATAAAGTTGAAAAGGAGGCAGCCCAGTTGTTCTAATATGAAATTTTCCCTTTTTTCCACATATTTTTGTTCTTTGATACCAAAAGAACCACATTTTGGTTCCGGACTCGTATAAATAATGGGTTCAATTTTATTAATATTTTCTATGACCCAAAGGAATATTTTTTACATCAAGTATAGATATTAGTATGAAAATTGAACAAAAAGTGAATTTACAATTTCAAAGGTGTAATGAATTTAATTATATAATTTATCAACTTAAGTCATAACCATCTCTGGAGCACTTTCACTTTTTCAAAAATAATAAGGAAACACTCCGTCATAGAAATAACAGAATTACTGTATTTCTATGAGAGTGAAGCATTTCTAAAGATTACTACCTACTCTGATAACACGCCTATATACAACTTATATATGCATTCTATTAAAATATACTATTCCTTTTTAATACGCGAAAAAGGGCCATCCCTAAGTTTGTTCTAATTTCATCAGTTACTTGAGAAAGAGAGTAGGTAGGAGTAATATGTTAGACTTGGTCAAATTATAGTAAGCGTGTAACGGTAGTTAATGAGTATATATGTTGGATTCGGTCAAATGGTATAATACTGAACGGGTAAAAAACTTTCACACTTATGAAAGATAAAACCGAAATTCATGGTAAACCTCGAATTCTATCCATTTTTGGTAGACCCAAAAGTCATAATTAATATAGTGATGAACATGAAACTTTAAAGAAATTCCTGTCAGATATTCATATTATTTGTGCCATTGAATATACATAATGGGCAAATGCCTTAGCTTCACAGCATCAAGAGATCGTTTTTACAGATATTTTTTCTCCTTTTCTGGGCTTCGTTCTGTAACAACAGATCTTGAAGATGGCACCACTATGCATTGTTGGATACCTAAAGTTCATGAACCAACAAAACCTAACCTTTTTCTTGTGCATGGATTTGGTGCCAATGCAATGTGGCAATATAGTGATCTCCTAAGACATTTTACTCCCCATTTCAATGTCTACCTTCCTGATCTCGTCTTTTTTGGTGCCTCGGCCACCACGCGCCCGGAGAGGACAGAGAGTTTTCAGGTAAACAAGCCATGAATAGTGACGGAATAAGAAATTTTCCTAAGGATGTTCAAGATGTAATATATATGTATAAAAAGTAATATTTCATATACATATACAATACGATTTTTTGTGAAAAGGTGTTCAACTAATCACCTTTCGCTGGCTGTTGCTTCGCCAACTTTTATCATGTTCCAACCGGCTCAAAGTTTGCTTGGGTCAAATAAGACTCATAAATCAACCCGCCCAACATGATCATCCAACCTTGCCTCCTTTTTATTTTGTTTATTTTAAATGAAAGTTAACATATTTTTCTTAAATTATCAGCACAAGCTTTTTAAAATTAATATATGTAATTCCCGATCTCTAAATTTGGGTTTCTATCTTTGTGTTTGGTTTGCATTTTCACCGGTAGAGTTACACCATTATTTTGGTTCAATCCGTTGGATCAAGTCATGACCGTTCAACCCATTTAATTACTAAAAAAAGGTAGTATTTTCTTTCAGGCAAGATGTGTGAAGAAGTTGATGGAGGTGCATGGTGTGCATAGAACAAGCCTAGTGGGGATTAGTTATGGAGGGTTTGTTGGTTATAGCGTTGCAGCTCAATATCCAGAGGCAGTGGAGAGATTGGTGTTGTGTTGTGCTGGCGTTTGCTTAGAGGAAAAGGATATGAAAGATGGCTTGTTTCAGGTCTCTGATTTGGAAGAAGCTGCTAGCATTTTATTGCCACAGACACCTGAGAAGCTAAGGGAATTGATGCGTTTCTCCTTCTTCAAACCTGTTAAAGTCATGCCCTCCTACTTCCTTTCTGATTTTATTGATGTAAGTCTATCTCTATTTATAGAAAGAATTACACATGTTTCTCTATTTAAATCATATTTATCTACTTTCCTCAGGTGATGTGCACCGATTATGTGAATGAGAAAAGAGAACTCATACAAACTATACTTAAAGATAGACGACTTTCCGACCTTCCTAAGATTTCCCAGGTTTGCATTTTCCTAAATTTTTATTTATTTATTTATAATTCTGTTGTTTCATATTACTATCATAATTTTTAATTTCATTGTGTTTTTCTTCTTATTCCCAACACAGTCCACATTAATTATTTGGGGAGAACAGGACAGGATATTCCCTTTAGAACTGGGTTACAGATTGCAGAGGTAACAACAAACTTGAAAATATTCTAACTTTTGAAAACTTCCTCTTCTGATGATCAAATACAAAATGATAGGCATATTGAAGGGAATGCTGACTTAGTAGTTATCAGAAATGCGGGACATGCAGTCAACTTGGAGAAACCAAAGGAGTTTGCTAAACACTTGAAGGCATTTCTTGTAGATAATCGCTAACCATTTGACAACAATTCTACGGCTTGTGGCGGATTCAGAATTTAGACGCTGTGGATTTTGTATTATAAAATGTACATTCAACTCTATTATTTGTACTTGTTTCTTGCACATATATGTATAATTCAACCCTGAAATATTGAGTTCAGCCAACCCATTGTTGAATCCGCCATTATCTGCAACCAACAGATAATCATCAGAAGTTTTAAAAGGAGAAATAGAAAAGAACAAGACTGATGTAAGAGTAAAACTTGGGATTGATGTACATTGTACAATTGAACTGCACATTTGTGCCATAAAATTATCTTATATATTATCTTATCTGCATCAACCAGAACTAGTAGCTCCAAATTCAAACTGATCTAGCCGATTCGATGGAGGTGATTAGAGATCCTGCAGCAGCGGATAAATTCTTCCAACCAACCAATTTCACCCCAAAGTCACGTGTTAACATTTGTATCCTGCTCAGATCCCCTTCTAATTTGCTTAGCTCCAGTACTAGCCTTCGAGCGATCAGGCTATATAAATATAAAAGTTTCTCTCCTTGCAATGCAACTCGTATTAAGCAATTAGACTCCAGGTCAGTTGATATGGGATCATACAACACAGAGAAACTACCAAATTTAAGGTCTGGAGTATCGAAGAACTTATCTACAACAATAATGTTTTCTTGACTGAAATTATTTGATTTCTCAGCTGGAGATATTGACCTTCTATCCGCAACTCTCAGTATGTGAGCAGCCTCTCTCATCCCACTGAGAAAAGCCCCGTGCATTGTTGCAGGATACTGTTTATTAGTTGCTTCACCTGCAAAGAAAATTCGGTCGCCAACACTCTCAGAGAGGATATCATAATCATCCCCTGAGGCTCCAATTGCAACATAGGAATAAGAACCATAACAGAACTGATCCTGTCCCCAACGCGTACAAACTGCTTGAAGTGGATCGGGAACAGCAATTCCTTTCGGACTGAATATTCCCTTCAGAATTTCAAGAACCCTCCCAACAGATTCAAGAGGAGACATCTTTTCAAATTTTACTGCTGCTTCTCCAGCTACAAGAGCAATAAGAAGGGGTCCACCTGAAACCGAAGAATAACTATAGAACAGAAAAAACTCACCCCTCATATTCGGGTCCTCATTCAAGTGTCCAAAAGTATCAATCTCTCCACCCCAAAAGTCGTAGGGAAACAGAATAGCAACCTTATTCAACAATCCAAATCCTAATCTCTCAATCGCATCTTTCTTGCGCTGAGGAAGGTCGGGTACAAACTCAATGTTGCCCCTCTTCAGCACTCCCAGTGGAACCGTGCAGAGAACCATATCCCCACGATATTCCTGCCCACCAGCATACACTAAAACCCCATCAGTACCATATCTTACACTTTCCACTGTCCTATCGTAAAAAATAGGAATGTCCTCTGCCAGAGCCCGAATTAACCTCTCATTTCCTCCAGGGATGAAACAATGATCACCCCCCATTTCATAAGGGTCATCCTGGTCCCAAAACGCCATCGACAGATTGGACATCAATGAAGCATTAGCATACTCCAAATTGGCCAAATGCCAATCCAGAAGCATTTGCTCTTGGGGATCCTCAGCCACTCTATACACATGCCTAAACGTCTCCAACGCAGTACCTAACGAAACATCCACGCTCTTAACCTCATCCAACATTGCCTGCCTAAGTTTACACACCCTATCTAACAACTTATTAAACGACGCTTCAACTTTAGAATCAATATCCGAATTCACAGTTCTACCATTAGGCAAATACAAAGGGCAAATATCTCTCACCTTATGAAGCGGAATGCCTAGCTGCCTCGCCAGAACACCCAACGGATTACCATTTATTCCAGTTAACACACTCCCACCTAAATCAGCAGCAGCAACAACCCCATTTCGTCCCCCACTCATCTTCTTACTCCTCACTCTGCCACCAGGTCTACCCCTTCCTTCAAGAACCACAACTTTAAACCCCAACGAAATCAACTGCCTCGCAGCAACTAAACCTGATAACCCAGCCCCAATAACGATTACATTCCCTTTCGGGACCCCTTCGGGTGTCTTAAATTTTAGTTCTTTTATAGCTGGAGCTACTCCATAATTGATATACCCATGTTGTAGTAAAAAAGTGTAAGCAGAATGCACGAGGTTTTTGTGTTCAGCTCGTATGGACTCCAAAGCATGATCTTTTGTGAGCCAAACAGTAACATTGGACCGCCAACGTGCGAGGATGTGGTTACGTACGACAATGTAATTAGATTGTTCAACACCCCCAATTTCGGAAACTACATTAGCTTCAATTTCTTCCTCTGTAAGGGAATCGACAGGGAACCCAACGGAGATAGCAATTAGGGCTTCAAGGTCGACTTCTTTAGCGAGATCGGAAATCCTTCGCCGGCGATTGTGATTCTTATTAAGGTCGTCACCGGTAGCTAATTCCGTCTCGGAGTATGAATATGCGGTGGAGGGTTTAGGGTTAGGGCGGAGAACACGGAGGCCGGAGACGGCGGCGGCGGAAACTGAGGTGGGAATCATGTCCGTGAAGAAACGTTTTCTACGGCGTCGTTTTTTGACTTGGGGTGGGGTGTTTCCGGTGGGCGGTGGTGGTAATTCGGAGGGGGGTATTTCCGGTTTGGAAGGTTCTGGAAGGTCGTCGGGTTGAGAGTCTGAAACGGCAGGTTCAGGTGTCGTTTGAGGAGGGGAAGAATTGTCATTGTCATTTTGGGGATTGTCTTGTCGGAGAATGTCGCCGGAGTTGATGTGGAGAGATGTTCCCGGCGGATGTCCGGCGGAAGTTTCCATGGGGGAATAGAGAAAGCTGAGCTAAGCGTCGTTACTGGGAACCAAAATTGCTCGCCAATGCGACCAGTGCTAAAGGGTTACGAAAGGCTGGAACGTAACGTGAGTTAAAGTTTGGGGTGTTTATGGGTAAAACAAAAACAAATTTAACCCAAAAATGGATCAAACTGACTTAAAAGTTAAAACGGAAATGGGTTAAAGTTGCCCTTAACCTACTGGAAATGGCTCTAAATTTATCCTCCTTTCACCTATTGGACCATTAACGTCTTTAACGTTAATTTTCAGCAAAAAATATAGAGTAATTTTTGTAAAATTCCCATTAAGCTTAGTTATCCTTTCCTGTCCATTTGAAAACTATTTACAATATATATTTACCCTACTAAAAGTAATTACCCCTACCTATTTACCCAACCCAACTTTTTTTTACCCATTTAACTTAGCTTAGCTTGATTTGGCTTGGTTTTGTTTGGCTTAGCTTGGCTTGACTTCACTTGATTTGGTTTGGCTTGAATTAGTTTGGCTTGTCTTGAATTGACTTGGTTTATAGTAGCTTAGTTTGACTTTATTTGTTGGGTATTAAAAAAAAATGGGTAGAGGAAAATAAAGTGGGTAGGGGCGAGTAAATACTTTTTGCCCTATGGGTATTTGCTAAAGAACGCCAACCCATTTAAACTAACCCGAAATCCAAACCCTCTCGAGAAATAATTCATCTTCCCCACACACAAATCATCTTCTCTCTTTGAAAAAATAACACTCATAAGGTGATGGAGACTTTTCATGGCTGTCAATGGGTTCAAGGGTCTCGTTCTCTACGAACTAGGTTCTATGTCGCCACAAACTTCCACCTTTTTCCTTTATCATCCTCAATCTTGAATCACTAGAATTTTTTCGTAGACCACCATTTTTCTGCATTCATTTCTTCACCCAAATAGTGTGGGGAGTTCGATCAACTTGGATGAAGAACACACATATTAATTTGTTAAGATCGAAATAATTAGGTGTCATGCGGAAGCTAATAAAGCAAACCTTGAACGACGATAAATCAGATAACAAAAAAGAAATATATCAAAAGAGACACAAAAATTTAGCGTGGTTCGGTCAGTTGACCTACCTCCACAAGCAAAGATGAGCAATCCACTATATAAAAGAGAGTACAAAATATCGAGCGAATAACCTCACAAAGAGGCACACTAATATTCGGCTTAAAGTATGTATATTTATATGCATATTCCCTCGCATTTTACTCATGTTTCGTAGATTCCGGATGAATGTAATAATTTGTGCTAATTCGTGGTAGTTTATGGGTAGGAGTCATCCGGGGGCAATGTGGGACGAATGTGCATGATTTGAAGCAAAAAGGGAACAAAGTAAAAAATTTAGACAGTGTAGCGCCGAGGGTAGCATGGGCCGCTACTTATGGCGCAGTTTCCAGAAGAGCCAAAATTCCTAGCGCCCGATGCTACCATAGGCGCTGAGGGACGGTAAGTTGTCCTACTCCGCCCAGGACAAGGTTATTTCGACCCAAGACGCCTCCAACTCGTATAAAAGCAAGTCTAAATCTATTTTGGAGGAAGAACACCACTTTGAGATGACGCACGGTACACTCGGGAGCAAGGATTCTCAGTTTTTCTTTATCTTCTCTTCCTTTAACTTTATAGTTTATTAGTTCTAGAGTTGTGGGGTGCTACATGTAAGTTGTAGTTTGAAGCTTGAATTGTTCTTGTTATTTTATCATACTGGTTTATTTATTCATTCTTGCGCTTAATTATTTGATTGCTTGATCACCAATTGATTCCTATCTACGAATCTAGGATTGAACTCGGGAGAGTGAATTCTAGATTGCCTATAAGATTGAGTAGAACAAGTCTTGAACCTGAATTACGGGAAACGGATTTGCGGTTAAGATATGGATATACCTAATTGCCTTGTTTGGTTATTATACGGGAATTATTAATGCATTCTTATTAATCCTAAATCCATAGGAATATAGGCGTTAGGTTAGCTTGGATAGGCGAGTATTACTTCGGGAGAATACTACGAGCAATATTAATCCTGTCAATCAATAAACCAGATAAATTACTTAGACAATTTAAGTGGAAGACTCAACGGGGTTGTTAGCTAACCCTTATGTGATGACCTGCCATATCATCATGCCACATAGGCGTCATTTGGCATATATTAATGCCATGTGGAAGCTTACATAAGAGGAAGGCTAGTATTTGTGAGAAGATTCTAGAGAAATATGGATATTTCCTTAGGAAGACCCTAGATCCTTATGGATTTGCTAGGAAAGTCCTTGGAATCTGCTAGGCTTGTAGAAAATTCTAGAGAAGGGACCTACTTGTAAATATTAAGGACTTGTGGAATAATTATTATTTATACACTAGCCCCTAGGTGATTAGTATAAATAGGGGGCCATTCATTTGTAATTCATCAAGCAAACAATTCAAGTTCTCTCTAATACAAAGCTTCCTTTAACAATTCTCTTGTGTTCTTTCTACCATTCTCTTAGCGATCTTGAGTGTAGCAGGGCTGACTTGGCATAGCAAGAACGTGAGCAAGCTGTGCAAGATCCTGAGCGAGTTGTCAAGTGCCACATGTGTACTTAGTTAAAAACTAAGGACGTCACAACGTGGTATCAGAGCGAAGGTTTCAACTAAGGGAATGGCGAACGACGGAGAAATTAACGCTGCCAACACCCAAGCCAACGTCATCCAGGATGCTGCTGGCAAGAGCGGCCGTGGCAAAAAGAGGAATGCCACCAACAAGAGACAGGAGGTGCCACCCGAGGTTGTGTCAAACGAAGGGCTTACATCCCAAGAACCATCTGCCGCTGAGGCGAGCGAGGATGAAGTGGAGGTCCTGCCCGAGGATGTCTCGCTCGGTAAAGAGTGGGTGATGAAAATGAACGCGGGGATGGACGCCGTGGAGATCTTTGGCCAACGCTTGGGGAAGGTGGAATGCACCCTTAGTGTTCTTGAGGGGAATACTCTTGAAGAGATTGAGAGTATGTGAAATGACTTGGAGGGACGTACACAGACTGAGATGGAACTAAGGCAAACCATCACTGCCTTAGAGTGCAGACTCATGGAGGCTTTGAGTACTATCGATGCTATGAAGGCAAAGATAGATTCACTCGAGGAGCATGTCAATGCTGGCGTGACCGAGGCAGCCAGCAATGTTGTGGTGACGAGAGAGGCCAAGATCGAGGCTCCCAAACCCCCGGTGTTCAAAGGTGTTCGTGATGCACAAGAAGTGGAAAACTTCCTTTGGCACTTGGAGAACTACTTCAGGCACGGCAAAGTGAGGGACGACGAGGCCAAGATCAATACTGCGGTATTGTACCTCTCAGAGACTGCCATGCTTTGGTGGAGAAGGAAGATGGCCGACGTGGATAAAGGTCTATGTACTATTAGCACATGGGATCAGTTCAAAGCCGAGTTCAAGCGACAGTTCTTTCCAAACAATGTCTTGTACGAGGCTAGGCGCAAGCTTAGGGAATTGAAGCAAACAGGGAGCATGCGTAACTATGTCAAGGAGTTCACTACCCTTATGCTTCAAATCCCCAACCTGACCAATGATGACTTGTTGTTCCACTTCATGGACGGGTTGCAAAATTGGGCGAAACAGGAGTTGCAACGTCGATAAGTCACTGATATAGACCAAGCCATAGTGGAGGCCGAATCATTGATGGATTTCAGGCATGACAAGCACGACAAAGGCAATGGCAAGGAGTCAAAGGTTAACAATGTCAAAGGCGGGGGAGATCGTGGCAAAGGCAAGGAGAAACATCAACAATACTCCAAGACTCAAGATTCCAAAAAGTCGAGTGGTCATCAGGGCTACGCCGAGAAGAAGGCACAGGTCGAGAAGAAGGGATGCTACATATGCGGAGGGCCGCACGGCTTCAGGAATTGTCCCGACCTAAAGAGCCTCAGCGCCATAGTCCGTGAACGAAAGGAGCATCCGCAAGGAGAGAGTTCGGGAACCGCACAGTTGGGTATGATCGGATTATGTGGTGCTGTCACAAAGCAGGCTATCCAACCTACCGAGAGTGGCAATCAGTACGTGGATCTCACCATCAACAACAAGCCCGCTCGTGCAATGGTGGATACTTGAGCAACTCATAATTTTGTGACTGAGGCTGCGGCAGAGAGACTAGAATTGAAGCTTGCTCCAACCAACTCTCGCGTCAAGACCGTGAACGCCAAGGTACAAAATGCTCGTGGGGTAGCTAATGGTGTAGGTGTCAAATTGGGAGCTTGGAAAGGTATGAAAAACTTTACCGTAACTGCTATGGATATCTTTGACATCATACTGGGTCAAGAGTTCTTTAGACATTGTCATACTTTGATCGACCCCTACCTCCAACATCTCTTGGTTATGGGGCGAGAAGGAGATTGCATGGTACCTACAATGACTATGCCACACGGACAGATCCAAGCATAAATCTCAGCTATGCAGGTTGTCAAGGGGATCAAGAAGGGGGAGCCAACATTCGCGGCAACCATTTCAAGTCTAGAGTAAGACAAGAGTTTTCAAGAGACATTGCCGCCTTGCATAGAGAAGTTGCTTGAGGAAAACAAAGATGTCATGCCCGAGGAGTTGCCTAAGCACTTGCCGCCTAGGCGAGAGGTGGATCACAAGATTGAGTTGGAGCCAGGGGCTAAGCCACCTGCATTTGCCCCATATCGTATGGCACCGCCCGAGCTAGAGGAGCTCAAGAAACAATTGAAAGAGTTGCTGGATGCTGGTCACATTCGCCCATCAAAGGCACCTTTCGGCGCACCAGTATTGTTCCAGAAGAAGAAGGATGGATCGCTGCGCTTGTGCATAGACTATCGAGCACTTAATAAGGTTACAGTGAAGAATAAGTACCTGATCCCGCTCATTGCTGACTTGTTCGATAGACTTGGGCAAGCCAAGTACTTTACCAAGGTGGATCTTCGAAAGGTCTACTACCAGGTTCGCATTGCAGAAGGGGATGAGCCAAAGACAACGTGTGTGACGAGATATGGAGCCTTTGAGTGGTTGGTGATGCCCTTCGGCTTAACCAATGCACCGACCACATTTTGCACCCTTATTAACAAGATTTTTCATCCCTACCTTGATCAGTTCGTGGTAGTCTACCTAGATGACATAGTCATCT